CCGCCTCTCAACAGGTCAACCGCCGCGACTGGCGGTCGCCTGTCACTTGGCGGCGGTGGAGCTGCCGCACCTCGCAACCGCAACAACAACAGCGCGACGGGTCCCACTTCCTCTAATGGAATGGAGGAGACTTTTAGCCTCGTCACTGGGAACCCTTTGAATTTTGCAATGATAATTCGGCTGGCGCCAGACTTGGTGGAAGAGATCAAGCGAGTAGAAGCTGAAGGTAGTACAGCTAGGATCAAATTTGATACCAATGCCAATAATTCCTCCGGAAATGTGAGTTTTCTTGTTCACTTTTGTTTTACAGATCTGTGTGCAACATATTTATTTGCTATTTGATGGTTTTCCTTTTGTTTTTAGGTTTTATCTAAGTTGGATTAGTTGAACATATTGTGCTTAACTGGATACTTATAGTGCAGTGGAGAATATGAGAGACTGCTAAAAGCATTTGTTGATTTTCAGTTTAAACTTTGACATGGGCTATTATGCTTAAAAATTGACTCTTGTGTTACATGAACATGGAACATAAACACTGTACTGCTGGTGTGCAGCAAAAAAGCTTGTAGCACTTTTAACCTCTAGTGACTGGTGCGAGTCTATATTTACGTCTATTTTCAAGGCTTGCAGGTTACCTACTTACCCGTAACAATAAGACTTTGTATCAGGGGTGGAGCTCGTAAGAGAGGAAGGGGTTCAATTATATCCCCTTCATCGAATATTTATATTAGGTAAATAGGTAAAAATCAAATCTTTAGGTTATATATAAACAGTTGCTTTAATTTACAAGTTTGAATCCCAACTATGACATTCTATTTTTTTTGGTAATTCCCTTATGGCTCCGCCACTGCGGTTCGTAGGTTACCTTTCGTTCGAAAGCTATGCACTTACCAAATGTATCACTCCATACCTTGTTTGCCTGTTTTCTTTATTAGATTTCCTCTGTAACAGAATAGGAAAATGAAGAAACAGAATACCCTAATTTTGGGCAATATGATTTAAAGGCCTTTGAAATGGGGATATGTGCTTCTTAAGGGGTCCATTTCAAACTATTTACTCCATGATGCTTCCAGTGTTTTTGTTATCTATCTTCTAAATTGTAATTATGTATTTGTTCTTTAAAAACTCAACCGAGGAGCCATTCCTGTGAGAAGCAAGGGATGTCTTGAACGGTGGAAGGTCATAGAGAATAGGCCTATTCATAGAGTGATCCTATGATAAGACTGGCAGTTACATTTTAGTGATTGTGTTTCCTAGATATTATACTACACTGCCATAATTATATATCCTGACTTGCATCTGAAATGCCACTAAACGTTTTTTTTTGATGAAGTAAGGGAATCTCATTAAAAGGCATCAAGAAAATGCATAGCAAAAATTACAACATAAAGGTATTGTCTGCTCATATGCAGAAAACTTACGGGAAAACTAAGGAGCAGACAAAATCAAGAAATAGTTCAACACTATTTACAGGGGCCTGATTGAACCAACTAAATAAGTTAATTAAACACGTGGCTTTAAGAGTGTGGTTGGGAGTTGAAATCCCATCAAAACATCTACGGTTTCTTTCATTCCAAATACTCCAAAAAAATAGCACCAGGTACCATTGACCAAGTCTTTTTGATGGATTTCCCAACTCTCCAAGAACACCAACTCTCATAAGCTTCCTTGATACTGTTTGGCATAACCCAGGCAAGTTCAAAAACTGATAAAAACATACTCCAAATATCAGTTGCTACTGAACAGTGCAAAAAAAGATGCCTCACACTCTCTGATTCCATTTGGCACATATAACATCTATTCACAGTCGGTATACTTCTTCTGATAAGATTGTCTTGAGTAAGACTAGCTTCATACAATGTTGTCCACATAAAGCCAGCTACTTTTGTAGGTAGTTTGGTTTTCCATATAAGCTTCCATGGCCATTTGTCGATCAATTCCTTGTTGGAGCATAGGTTGNGAGCATAGATTGTCATATCCTCTTTTTACAGTATAGGTTCTCTCTTTTGATTCACCCCATTCCAACCTATCCTGCACCTGGGAATTGACATTAGCACCTGATAATTTATTGAGCAAACCCAACAGATCATTCAACTCCCAATCTTGGATGTCCCTTCTGAAATGTGGAGCCCAAGCACTATTTTGCCAAACATGTGAGATAGTTGCATCTTTATTACTAGCAAGTAAAAATAAAGCTGGAAATTCAATTTTCAGTGTCTCTGTACCTAGCCATTTATCTTTCCAAAATGATATATGAGCCCCGTTCCCTAGCTTGAGTGATGACTTGAGCTTGAATTCTCCCCAAAGCTTTGAAATGTGTTTCCAGGGGCCTGAACCATGTGGACCTCTCCCCTGCCTAGTGCACCAGTTGTTTGCCACCCCATACTTTGCTTGAATTACTGTTTTCCATAGCCCTGAACTTTTCATGTTGTGCCTCCAATGCCATTTCATCAATAAACTCTTGTTATGCAAAGCAAGGTCTTTTATCCCTAGCCCTCCATGGTTCTTAGGAAGAATAACTCTTGGCCATTTAACCAGATGGAACTTGTGAGTGTTACTGTTGCCTTCCCATAGAAAATCTCTTCTTAATTGATCAAGTCTCCTTTGTACCTTAGTTGGGATTGGGAATAAGGATATGAAATATGTTGGTATGCTATCTAGCACACTATTGATGAGTGTAAGTCTGCCTCCAAAGGATAGGTATTGCATTTTCCAGGAAGCCAGTTTTCTTTCAAATTTTTCAATCACTCCATTCCAGATACCTTGAGACTTGTATCTAGCTCCCAATGGGAGCCCCATATATGATGTAGGGAAAGATCCCACTTTACAATACATAACCTCTGCAAGCTCATCCAGATTTGGGATTGTGTTAACCGGATAGATGGTGCTTTTCAGCATGTTCATGTGTAGGCCTGAAATAGCTTCAAAGATCATTAGTGTGAGATTAAGATATAGAACTTGTGATTTTTCAGCTCCGCAAAAAATCAGAGTGTCGTCTGCGTATAGCAGATGCGACACCATCACAGAATTGCCCTCTTCATTGCCCACCTTAAAACCCTCCGGCCAATGGAGCTGGTTAGCTTTGTCTAACATTTTGCTTAGGCCTTCCATAGCAAGAATGAACAAAAAAGGTGACAGTGGATCTCCCTGTCTGAGGCCTTTTTGGGGAGAGAAAAACCCAACAGGTCCACCATTGAAATGCCACCAAACGTCACTTCTGTTTGTCCCTTTTCTAATATGCACTTTTGTATTAGTTGCTTTGAGGTGTTTGGTTGTGCTCCTTATTGAATTAATGTATGAGTGCCTCGTTAAGAATTTATGACCTCTTTCAATTTTATAAAAGAAAGAACTTCTGACATCCTTTGACTTGATCTTGAACTCATGCTTGGCAATAATGTTACTTTAGTTAAGTATAATTGGATGTGATTTGCCCACATTGTATCAGGTCATTAATGTTGGTAGTAAAGACTTCAGATTCACATGGTCGCGGGAACCTGGAGATCTATGTGATATATATGAAGAACGTCGAAGTGGTGAAGATGGAAATGGTTTGCTTGTTGAGTCAGGTGGTGCTTGGCGAAAGTTGAATGTACAGCGCGTTCTGGATGAATCATTTAAAAACCATGTTAAAATGCGGTCAGAAGAAGCTGAGAAGAAGCTTAAATCACGCAAGTATGTTTATTGTTAAACTCTTTTGTTTTTTTGGATAAGGATTTATTGTCCAACTCTAAAATGACATGAAATGGTTGATTGTTGTAGCTAGATATATTAGATTTCTCTACATGATAGTTCTCAACTTAATGATATGCAAATATATAAAGTTGAGTGCTTTTTATTTTTTTGGGAAGGGGGAAGGGTATGATTAAGGGCTTAATGAGGATTGAGTTTTGCACTTTTAGGATTCAAGGTGGGATGTCTACCACAGCTACCGCTTAATTCTTGTACAATCAAGTTCATATCTAATTATGTGGCTTTCCTGACCTGTTTTCTTGTATGCTTCAATGTCTATGTGGGTTGATGTGCTCTCTTTCTTGGAGTGAGTGTCTAGGCAAGGTCACTTTAAGCTCATTTAGCGAATTTCACATGATAATGGTTTCGTCCACTCATTTTACATGCTCTTTATTCGACTCCGCTGCTCTTTATTCGACTCTATCTAGTTAGGCTGAAGTTCTGTGATACTGTGTTGAGCTAGCGGTACCACTGTTATCGACGTTTAATTGTCTTTAAGATGCAGCAGCTCACTTCCTTGATCACGAGTTGGGATGTATTGATTAAGTAGAAGACTAATTTAAAGGCTTCTTTTTTTGGTTGAGAAGGTAACATATTTGCATATTAAAATATAGACTACACAAAAGCTGTGAAGTCACCCATAATTACAATGTGGAATGTAGGAAAATATAACTCCTAATCCTTTGTCTTCTTACAAGGATTCTAAAACATCAAAAATAGATTCATGATCTTTCAAAAATTTTCCTTTACACCAAAAGTATATAAGAATTAAACGCTTCATCTTCATCTTTTGGATGTTACTAGATTTGTCTTCAAAGCATCTCTGCTTTGTCCACCATATGGAAGCTGGGAGAATCCTCCATCTCTTGTTTTGTCCACAACATAATTTAAAAGCTTATGGTATCAAAGAAAAAATTATAGGCTTGCAAAAATAAGTCTTTCTCTTAAAATATTAAGCATTTTGCAGTTAGAATTTATTTTTGATGAGAGAAAGATCCTGTCTCAAATTTTGCTAAATAACTTGCTAATAACTAGTTAACAGAAAAGTATGATTGATAAACCAATAGATGACCACTATAGTTGGAGTAACAACATTCATATCACTAACCCACACTCAGTTTTTTCTTTTGTTGAAAGAAATTAGCTCCTATGGTTGATCAAATGTACATCTTAGCACCTTGGTACATGATCTAAAGCGTGGTCTAAGCGAGGTGAATTGCTTAGCCTGTGTTGCACCTAGCTTGAGGGCTTATGCGTGCCTCAAGCAAGCCTTTGGCAATACTGTTTCTGATGATGCAATGCTGAGGAAAAATGTTTAGCTTTTCCGATGCTTTGGAGAAGTTTCGTTCTAGTTAAATAAATAAAAGATTCTCTGTTGTTTGTACCTTAGCTGGTATTTGATTTTCTCATTCTGTCTTGTATATTGATATTTTTGCATCTCTAAAACAGAGCCATTGTTTTGGACCATGGCAATCCATCCATGAAGAGTCAGGTGAAGGCAATGGCTGCAGCTGAAGGTACACATCGTCATGAACACTGAAATTAAGCATTTGATAATCGCTTTTCTAATTTACCTTGGTTAAAGTCAGCTAGATTGCCCTTAAGTTTCACATATGATTCAATCATTTTCTTGTACATTTTTTGCATCCTCTGATGCCAATGTAATTAACATTTTACCTTCTAAAAAAAAAGTCTTGGTAGATTGCTCCTAGTTGATGATTCCTTCTGCATATTGAAAGGATTATAAACTTGATGGTTATTGGAGGTAGAAATGCTTCTGGTATTCATTTGAGGATAACACTACCTAGTAATGCAAAATCCTCAGAATATTTGATGGGCTGTGTGCATTATCAACTTGAAGGTATACGAGAGAGGGATGCTTCTGATATCCCATTTTGACTTTCTATTTAATGAGCCAAAAGAAAAAAATTGGTGTAATCGACTATGAAGTATCTGGTAGTCATTATGTATATTTGGCTTTACGTGGAATGAAAGGAGTAGGAGATTGATCCATAGTTATGAGAGATATATTAGTAGTTTATCTTCTCAAAAAAGAGATATTAGTAGTATAAGGAGATCTTTTCTATTTAATGCATTTGTTGGTGTAGGGAAAGAATACTTGTGGGATCTGTGGTTAGATCATTGGATTAGCTTGTTCGAGAACCATTGTTGAGTTTGCTTTATATTTATTTTTCACACCAACTTGGTATAATCAATGAATGAAATATTGAGAAAGAAAAAATGAAGATTCTAATAGTGGTGTATCGGCTATCATTCTTGGTGTTCAGTGCTCATGCTATCCTAGTATCTTGTGCTACTCGTTATTTGGAGCTATAACATAAAACTTCTTTTTGATGTATGTGTTTGGTTTAAATGAATATCATTCTGGTATTCATTTGAGGATAACACTACCTAGTAATGCAAAATCCTCAGAATATTTGATGGGCTGTGTGCATTATCAACTTGAAGGTATACGAGAGAGGGATGCTTCTGATATCCCATTTTGACTTTCTATTTAATGAGCCAAAAGAAAAAAATTGGTGTAATCGACTATGAAGTATCTGGTAGTCATTATGTATATTTGGCTTTACGTGGAATGAAAGGAGTAGGAGATTGATCCATAGTTATGAGAGATATATTAGTAGTTTATCTTCTCAAAAAAGAGATATTAGTAGTATAAGGAGATCTTTTCTATTTAATGCATTTGTTGGTGTAGGGAAAGAATACTTGTGGGATCTGTGGTTAGATCATTGGATTAGCTTGTTCGAGAACCATTGTTGAGTTTGCTTTATATTTATTTTTCACACCAACTTGGTATAATCAATGAATGAAATATTGAGAAAGAAAAAATGAAGATTCTAATAGTGGTGTATCGGCTATCATTCTTGGTGTTCAGTGCTCATGCTATCCTAGTATCTTGTGCTACTCGTTATTTGGAGCTATAACATAAAACTTCTTTTTGATGTATGTGTTTGGTTTACATGGATTCAGATACTGTTATTGTGTGGTAACGAGATAGGTAACTACAAAGTTACGGAGTCTTGGGAAACTTCTATTGCTATCCAATATCAACTTTATCCAATATAGGTATCTCTCATTTCTGGGCTGTTAAAGAAGGTCGAGAATAGCAATATTACTAAAACCAATTTTCATAGCATTATGTGGCAGCAAATCTACTGGCAATTAGTGATGCTTTGAGAAAAAAGAACCTTATTGCATCTGTTAAAGGTGTAAAAGATAAATTATAGTACCTTATCAAACAACAGCTTAAACGCAATAGCTAACACAATAGTGAAACAGTGGCTTATAAGAAGAATCAATTTTAGTAACTTATGAAACAGCAGTCGCTTAAACGCTATAGTTAAGCAGATGATGTGTAAGCTTGATCTTCAGGATGATGATGTGTAAGCTTGATTTTCTGGAGTGTCTCTTTTGTTTATTGAACATATACTATGGAGAACATTAGTTTTCTCTGGATGAATGATCTATAATGATGGTATATGTTTAATTTCTGATATTGCAGTTTGATGTAAATCTAACTCTTTGTCTCTTCAGCCAATCCATGGAGGATGGGTTTCAAGCAAAAGAAAGAGCCTCCTTTCAAAAAGCGAAAGGCAGAACCACCTCCAGGTAATTTGGGAGCTGAAGTTTAGAGGTTTCTTATTAGATGTTTTCTGCTTGTAGTCCAGTCAGTATATTTCATGTCCAGGTGTTGGAAAGGAGGGATGTCTTGAATATAATTTCACTGTTTTGGTGGTGTTATGTTTCCTATCTTTTCATTGAACTTTATGAATTGCAGGGGGGGCTTACGGATCTGCTTACAAATCTGGCTCCTCTGCAACAACTCATTCAAAGGGAAAGCCTTCTGCTTCACCTTTGTCTTCTCCCCCTGAACTATCTGGTGCTCCAGCATCTCCATTTGACAATGCCAATCTTTTGAAGGGCCAAATTGCTGTGGATGATGTGATACCAGCTCAAACCATGGCTAAGGCTACTAGCTCTGACAAAGAAATTCCTAGCAAGGTGACCACAAGTTCTTCACATGATAAAGTAGGGCATAAAAGGCATGCAGGCGCTACGTCTACCGACCTGCGTAGCATGTTGATTTCTCTACTTATGGAGAACCAGTCCAAGGGGATGAGTCTTAAGGTAAGCATGTGAACTAAATTGGACCTTTCTTAATTTAGCATTGTGTTGTAGGAGGTAGAGTGTAAGTTTAAAGCAAAGATGTCCATTTTCCTTTGGTTTATTGTTTTTTTTTTGTTGACATGGAGTACTTGTTAAAAATTCTTAAGTACATCTCTTTACCGCATCAGCTTCTTGTTTTTTTCCCCTTAAAATATCTTCTGGGTTTTAGGCACTGGAGAAAGCTGTTGGAGACACATTCCCGAACTCAGCCAAGCAAATTGAACCCATTATAAAAAAGGTAAATGGTAGATGAAATTGCTGTAGTTCTGCTGAAAGAAGAAAAGATAAGTGAATAATATTCAATAGTTGTAATATTTTACACATGAATTTCTGGTGGTAGATTGCTATATATCAAGCTCCAGGAAGATACTTCTTGAAACCAGGAGTGGATATAGAAAGCTTCCCGAAACCTGCCCCTGAAAGTGGAAGGTACAAAAAAATTTCGGGCTCTTTGTTCTTTTGTTTTGTCTCTTCTATTTGAAATTAAAATAGTATCTGTCACTGTCAGAGACAAAGCTGATCTGCATTCAGCACGTCTGGTTAAACTAAAGTCTCGGTATGTGTACCTGAGGAGCACGGGAACTTTCTACCAGGGATAAACTTGGAAGATGTTTGTGAAAATGATATTAAACAAAAAGACCTTGGCATTTTACATCCATTTTGAGCTAAAACTATCAAGGAACATATGCATCTTTTTGACGTTACAAAGGTTAAAATGTGCTTATTAATTTTGCCCTTGTTTGGGATGCTAATTTATATGTTTTGACACTAACGTACGAGGATCATATCTGTATGTATTTGTTTTTGGCCAAATTCCTTGGAGGGTGGAGAGGTGGGAAGATTATTTTCTGATCGAGAGATTATTTTTATTTCCTATTCATGTTTCATTTGATGATCCTCTGTATTGTGGTCATGAACTATTTTCCTTGAGAGCAGAACACCTCCTTCCACAGTAAAAAGATCCACGCACGTGTGATCTTTTCCACAGTAAAAAGATCTGTCTTCATTAAAAAAAAAATTCATGCATCTATGCACACACAGGCGGACATTGGTCAGGATGTATTTTCTTATGGTTTTGGTTTGTAACCCAATCGCTTTTGCTTTAGATTGAGCTCTTTAATATGTTTCCAGTATCACCTTTTTGATTATTATAGGTATTGCAGACATCAATTTAACTTCTCGTTCTAACATATCTCTTCTATCTTAGTGCTGCTGAGGACCAGACTACTAGCTCTACTATGCCTTTGATAGGAAAATCATTCTTCTGAAAAGATTTATTCTTTGATTGAAATGCTTGATTCTATGTTAATTGAAAGTCCCCTTACCCTGATGTTTTCTGCTCTTAACAGTTCTCCTGAAGATCATTGTCAGCCATTATCTGCCCCCGATAAATTTGACAAACTACCTGCTCCAGAACCGGTCTTACCTTTAAAAACTGATAGCAGTGAGTTGGAAGAGGGGGCAGTGAGCGATTCTAAACCTCAAGAAGCATCTGATGCCATGGAAAAAATTGATATCCTCCATCATTCACCTGATCGAAGTGTAGGGCTGGCTAATAGCTCTAGCTCTAGCTCTAGTGATAGTGAAAGTGAGAGCAGCGACAGTGGAAGCGATAGTGGAAGTCAGAGTAGAAGCAGAAGCCCAAGTAAAAGTGTAGCCAGTGGGAGTAGCAGTGACAGTGACAGTGATGCTTCTTCTAATAGTAAGGAGGCATCTGATGAGGATGTTGATATCATGAGCGATGATGACAAAGAGACAAATCATAAACCGCGAGCTTCTGAACAGGTTCAATGCGGAACTTTGGATTTTGAGCCAGGTCAATTTAAGGTAGGTGAGAGGGACGATCTTAATGTTACGGATATTGTGGAAATTGAGAAGGACTTGCCTCACGGCGACCAAGTAGCTGAAATGGCTGTTATTCCTGGCTCAGGTCCTATGAGAGATGATGAAAAACCTGTAGAAGAAATCAGACCTTTATCGTCTGATAGGCATGAGGATAAACAAAGTCAGGTCCAAATGGGTGAGCTTCATCATGAAGCACACATTGTTAGTTACCAAAAGCATCATAGTGAAATTGAAAGTGTCGACAAGGATAGCTTCAAGCATGAGCCATCTGGGGGTAGGAAAAGTAAATCTAAACGAGTGCGTGATGAAAAACGTTTAGTTGATAAAGTTGACAAGAATAAGAGAGTAAAAACTCAGAATGTTATTCAGCATCAAAGTTCTGGTCATAGGAACTCTAATTTTGTGGAGAGTTCACACTTATCTCCTGATAAGCCTTCAGAAGGGCCTTATAAGGGCCTTAATATGCAG